CACAACATGATCTACTCGACCACCATTATGGTTACCGCCAAAAAAGATAACAGACGTAAAAAAAAAAAAACGGTAACCTGGTTGCCGAGTTCACGAAGTGAATTGGCTTGTTTTACACGTCGTTGCCAAGCGACGGAAACCCACCACGGGGGGATTCAAAACCCACTATATAGACCTTATTGTTATTGGGGAGGAGTCAAAACCCACTATGTAGACCTTATTGTTATTGGGGAGGAGTCAAAAGCCATTGTATAGGTCGTTTCTACACGTCCACGTATTGTGCAGTCTGCCGGACGTCAAGAGAACGAGCAGCACGTGTCTTTTGGAGGCTCTCGACACAGATTTACTAAATTGTTACGTCGTACGATACTTCAGTGTCTTATTTCCAGGCTGATATATCGAGCTATACACTTGGAGGCTCAGAAACAATCCGTGCACCCCTGTTCCGTTGCATGAGTCGCTGCTGCTCTTCGCTGGCGAGGAGCACACGATGAGAAACAGCCGTGACGGTGTATCAGCATCGTTGCTCTCAGCCGAATAGCTCAACGCATGACAATTGCCAGAAAAAAGACCCGTCGAGCCGGTCGTGTGATGCGCACACAACTTCGTTGAGATCCCCCCCCCCCATATACCCCCCCCTCGGTGTTTGCCAAAGGGATTGGGTTTTCGTCGCTTGGCAACAACGTTGTGAAACAAGCCAATTCACTTCGTGAACTCGGCAACCAGGTTACCGTTTGTTTCTTTTTCCTCGTTTTTTTTTTTGGCGGTAACCATAATGGTGGCCGAGTAGATCATGTTGTGCGGGGTGGAAAACCCTTGCTCCGCGCAAGGGGGATGATCGCACCACGTTGTGTTGAAATGGTCAAGCACCCTCGCGGCAGTTACACAGTGCTTACAACTGCCTCTGGAAGTGAAAGCACCAGAAAATAAATGACGTCATACCCACCTGTCATCCGTACGCAAGGAAGTAAGCACAAGATGCCGAACACCCTTAGCAGGATGCAGCGCACCCTTCATGCGACTCGCCGAATATCTCACGGCGCTTCGCGCTTGGTGATGTGAGAGCCTGGTCC